ACAAAAGAAAGTGGCGCCCCGCCCAGGTGCCGGCGCCTCAAGAGCCGCCAGGTGGCTGCTGGACCCGGGAATAGAGCCTGGTCTTTTATAGCCGGGCCTGCGTCACGTGGCTGGGCGGTGTCTCCGCCCCTGGCCGGGAAAGATTTCTCTGGGGCGGGGCGGGGCAGGGCCTCGGGGCAGTCGGTGGCAGTGCGCGGGAGTCGTGCCTCCTGGAGCGTGTTTGTGGGGCGCGGCTGTTAGGGGACCCTGGTGTGCCTGCGGAGGTCCCCACCCTCCCCATTTCGAGGTCCACCTTTCAGCTCAGCCTTGCTCTCGCGGTTCCCACGAGCCAAGCTGCCTTCAGTAAACCAACGTCTGCGGGGAGAGACAGAGTCCCCTGAAGGAAGCACTGCAAGGGGACCTGTGTGAGACCCCAGCTCTCCCCGCCTTCCCGCTGCGTGGGTGACTGAGCATGCCCCCGCCTTGTGAGACCTGATAGAGCACGACTGGGGACTCTCTTGCTTCTCTAGATGTCCTTGGTGACGATCCCTAGCGCAAATGCCCCTCCTCCCACTCCCACGCCCCTTTGGGGGACAGGAACAGTGGAGCCTCCAAGAGAGTCTCAGGCTGGCCAGAGCTGTGCTATGATAGAGCAGGGCTGAGTCAGTCTAGGGCTGGCTGCACACTCACGAGAATGGCAGAATAGCCCTGCGACCTGCTTTCCCCAGGAAGCACCTTCCTTTGACCCCCCCCCCCCCACTAGGTATTTCTCAAGTTATGCAAACACAAACTTGTTGAGGGAACCTGCAGCCTTGCTAACTTTGTTTGGCAGTTAACACCAACAGGGATTGAGCTCACTCCCTGTGTCTCAGAAGCTTGATCTGGTTGGTCCACTCAATGACCCGAGGTCATTACTATTACCATCTCCATTCCACAGATGAGGAAGTGCAGGCACAGTAAAGACATAGGTCCTTGGCAGAAACAAGCTGTAACCTGGTCCCTTCAGCTTCCTGACCTGGCACTTCCCTGCCATGTAGTAATACCCATAAGGCTACTGCCTTCTGAGCCTGCCCTTGCTTTCCCCTCACCTGCTTCCGGACTGAAATCCCTGTCTATGACAGTCTTGGTGGCCTGGGGCATGGGCACGCCCCAAGTGTCCTTCCTACCCCCAACAGGAGGACTGTCCCTGCTGACCTACACCTCCTGCCCCAGAAACAGGAACCCATTCTCCCTTGGCCAGGCCAGTGCTCTGGATGTGATAGAGATGGATTCTAGCAGCCAAAACTTCAGGGACAAGAAGGGACAGAAACAGGGACCCTTAGTCCAAAACAAGGACTAACTCTTGGCAGACATCAAATGGGGGACCCTGTTCTGACTTCAGCTGGGTGGGCCTCTGGGACAGAAAGTGGTCCAGGTCTTTTCCAGGTTGTGTGGTTTAGTCCTTGACTTCCTGTGGAGGAGTCTGGGGGCCCAAAGTATTTGCAACCTTTAGATGGGACAAGGGTGGCAGGGGTCAACTTCATCTTCTCCGGACAAACCCTCCAGGGGGCCCATAGAGCCTGGGTGGATGCTTCCCAGTTCTACTCTTAGCTGTTTCCTTGGCTGTGAACCTGGAGGAGGAAAATGTCACTTCTGGATGGCTGCTATGAGCCCAGCCCTACTTGGGGATTTACATTTCATGTCATGAGAGGCCATCAAGGGCTCTTTCAAGGCTGACAGCCTGTGATCTGGCATAAGGACCATGCCTATAACCCTAGCCAGTGTGAAGCAAACCCTTACCAGGTGTCTACCCTGGCTGAGGCTCTGTACATATCATCTCATTAACCCTTATCCAGCCAATTCCATAGGTGAGGACTCAGGCTGGGAAAGGTGGGGTCACCTGACCAGAGTTATAGTTAGCATGGGACACAGCCAAAATTTGCTCCCAGGCCACAGAAGGACCTTATTGGGTTGGTTATGTGTGCACAGGGGTCAGCTCATCTGGACTCTGCCTTGGCCCACCCAGCATGGCTCCAAAAGCAGCTCAGGATGCTGCAGCACCAGGCAAGCTTGACCTGCACTCCCTGGACCCTACATATGACTGGGCCTTAGGACCCAGGGCCTATCTCTGTAAGGAAGTCGACCTTCATCCCTCTTCTGCCCTTGATAGAGCATGACCAGGACAGCCTTAGCCCCTCTGCCTCTTTTTGAGTTCCTTGTGCTTCTCCAGAGGAGAAAGACTGAGGCTGATGTGCGTTCTAAGTCCCTGTTTTAGTCAACTTTTTTGCTGCTGTGGCTAAAAGACCCAACCAGAACAATTGTAGAAGAGGAAAATTTATTTGGGAGTTCATGGTTTCAGTCCATAGTCAGCTCCATTCCTCAGGGCTCAAGGTGAGGCAGGACATCATGGTGGAAGAGTGTGGCAGAGGGAAGCAGCTCATACGATGATCAGAAAGCAGAGAGAGAGAAAGAGACTCCACTTGCCAGATACAAGGTATAAATATACCCTAAAGCCAAGCCCCCAATATCCATTTGCTCCAGCCTCACCCTATCTGCCTTCAATTTCCACTTAATTAATTCCATCATGGAATTAATTTACTAATTGGATTAAGGCTTTCATGACCCGATCATTTCTCCTCTAAACCTTTTTGCATTGTTTCATACATCCAAACTGTAACTGTCCCTAAACTCATGAGCCCATATAATACTGAAGACCAGGGAGTGTTTCCTGTTGGTTTATTCCTATAGTTATTCCTATAGTTAACTCTAAAGCCGATGTTTCCAACAATGGGTAGTTTTGCCCCTGTGAGGCATTTGGCAGCATTTGGAGATTTATTTGTATGTCACAAATTATGTGTAGAGGGGAGTGGGATATGGGATTGCTACTGATGTCTAGTAGCAATAGAGGCCAGAGATGCTGCTAAACATCCTAGGGTGCACAGGACAACACCCATAACAAAGAATAATGTGGCCCAAAAGTCCTTAAGTGCTGAAATTGAGAATCCTTGATGCAAAGTATGGCTTTTGAAGCTGGGCAGACCTTGCTTTGAGTTCTGCCTCTGTGTACTATATATTCTTGGGCAAGTGGCTTCATCTTTCTCTTAGGCTCAGTTTGCTCACCACCCTCTGGGAGGGTGGCCCCCACCTATGGGAGACTTGAGGACTGGGCAGACTGCACACATCCAGCACCTAGGACAGGCTAGCACAGGGTAGCCCCATGACTGATAGCCATCATTCTTCATTTCCTTTTCCAAGGTGGAAGGTAGCATGTGGCAACAAAGGTCTGGTGGCTGGACCTGGAGCTCCCCAATGTCTAGACATCCTCTATGGTTCCTAGTACAAGGTAGGGCTATTGTTGATGTTGAGGGAGAGGCTGGGTTGGCTACTGTGAACCCAGAGGAGGAGCCAGAAAGGAAACCTGATTCCAAGTGGGCAAAGGTCACTCAAAACTCACCTTGCAGCACACCACCTTTTCCTTCAGCCCAACCCCAGGAAAGCTAATGAATATGTTCAAGATGATGCCCTGGATTGCAAGTGGACATCAGGGAAGAGTGGCATTTGAATGGACATAACCAAGAAATACAGAGATACGGGGATGGACAGGAAATGACCCAGGAAATGTTATGTTCAAAAGTGTGAAGAGTGAGGGACCAGGGCTGTGAACTTAAGACACTAATTAATTTTCAAACAGAGTTCTGCCTCCTTCCAGGGTATAGGGTACAGGGCCCTCCCTCTGTAGTGGGAGGAGTCATTGTGGTTTTCTCTCTCCAGCCCAGATCCTCAACACATCTTTGCCAGGCATCTCCATCCCTGGTCTCATGGTCAACCCCCACCCCCCTTCCTGCAGCCCTGCAATCTACCTGGTCTGGTCTCTTCTTCCCACCCACTTTCTCCAACCTCAATCACGTGTTCTGTTTCTTACCCCGCCTCTCCTAGCCTCCTGCTTCCTGCCAGCCCGCCCACTGCCTCATCTGATTCCCAGGAGCCCCCTTAAACCTGTCACCGGCCCATTGAAACAGCCTTCCCCACCCTTCCACTGCTGCAGAAGACTAACGTTCTAGCTGTGTCCTGTCTCTGCCACAGGCCCCATAGTCAACTCAGGCCTCCTCAGTGGTCATCCTCCACTTCTAAAGCCCCAGGGTCTCAGCTAGGAAGAGCAGTCTAGACTATTCTCATCCCCTCAAGGTGGTCCCCCAGGAGGCCAGAGCACAGAACTCCGTTTTTTTTTTTGCCTCCTGCAAAATGCCATTTCTTGGACTTAGTATGAGGTAATGGCTTGGCTTTCTGAGTTTTGAGGGCAGGGGATTGACTCCCTAGACCCCAATTGGTCTAGGCCCAGAGTACACTTGGTGAAAAAAAATGAATGAATGAGTTATAGCTGACAACGAATTTTCACGTCTAGAAAGGGAGTTCTTGTGCCTGCCTAGGGCTATGGAAACTCTGGAAGGTAGGGACAGGACAGCAGAAGAACGGGAGAGGTAGAGGCAGCTCTTAGAACTGCCCGATGAGCAGTGTAGACGCAGATCAACTAGAACCGCCAGCCCAGGAGTCTTTCCAGCTGCGTCTTTGGGGCAGGGCCTGGACCAGCAGGCCTGGCGGCGGGCACTGAGCCCGGTTGCGTCCGCGCTCCAGCCAACAGGAAAAGAAGGAGTGAGGCCAGGCTGGGAGGGCCAGCTGGCCAGTGGGGAGTCCCAAGCGTGGGCGTGAGGAGCCGGGGAACCCCCGCGGGCGCCTCCTGGGCTTCAGGGTGTATAGGGGCCCCACCAACCTCAGCCTCCTCCACTGTAAAATGGGGTCCCCTCCAGATGCCGGCTTGTGGACTACTGGAGGGCGGAGGCGTGAAGAGTGCTGGGGAGGCTAGAGAGGTCAGAAGACTTAAGCCAGACCTAGAGAGGCACAAACCCGCTGGACCCCTCAGCTCCCAGCTGGCGGGGGCGGGGCCCTAGAGGGGCCGGCACTTGTGGGCGGGCCCTCAGCGGGGGCGGGCTTGAGGCCGGCACCTGGGTGAGGTCGCGCCGCCCCGCCCCCTTGCACTTCCGTGTGCAGCGGCGCCTGAGCAGGAGGCGGCGGCCGCTGGGATCCCCAAAGCGACCCCTGGTATCTGGCAGCAGCGCTGAGACCGGGGCCGTCCCCACCCGCCCCTGGACCCGTCCGGGTCAGGCCTGCACCGATCCCCGTCCGCGCGCACTCCTGGGAGCAGCTCCGGGAACCAGACCCCTGCCGCCGCGACCCCTGGCGCCTGGCCTCGCGCCAGGAGGTGAGTGAGAGCCGGGCGCGGGATCCGGGCTACCTACCTCGAAAGCTCAGCGCTTCTCCCTTCCCCCTCCCTTCTCCGGTTCCCTTTTCCGAAACTGAGAAACTGAGCTGCTACCAGCAAAGTCCCGCCGAGTGCCGAGACCCGCGGTGTCTCGGTGCCCCCGTCCGTCTGTCCCTCTGTTCGACGGTGGGAGCCTGGGCCCTCATGTCCGATCGCTCCCTGGCCTTCTACCTTCCTGTGTGCCCCGGCCGCTCCGAGGGTCCGATCGTCCCTCCCTGATCTCTCTGGGGCCCTCTGTCCGTTCGTGTGTCCTCACTCCCTCTGTGTTCCCGGGTCCGCCTCTCCCCAGACCCGGTCTGTCTGCTAGTCGCCCTCCGCGTGCTCCATCGCCCCACCCCCACCACTCACCCCGCCGCCCCCTCGATCCTGTCCTCTCGCAGCCGCGCCCCCGGCCCACGCTCGCCGTCCGGTGCCTGTCCAGCAGCCTCTCCTTTAGAGCCGGAGCCAGACGGCCCGCCACGCCTCATCTCCCGCCCCTGGGTCCCATCCGGGCGGACCCGCTCGGCGCCTCCAGCTCTCTATCTCTTCTTTCAGTCTTGATGTCTTTCTCGGTCTCTCCATCTGTCTCTGGGCTGGGCGTGGCTCTAGTCTCCACCATCCCCCTTCTCACCCCGCCCCTCTGAGCCCCCTCTCCGGGTGGCCCTGCCTGGTGCGGTAAGTCCCAGCTTCCCTAACGCAGGAGCCACCTCCCTGGGGGCCCAGGCTGGTAAGGGAAGGGGGGTGGAGATGGAGGCACCCTGCTGGCCAGCTCTGGAGAGGGAGGAGGTGAGCACCATCACAACTGCTCCCACTTCCCCAACTCCCTCTCTGTGGGGGCGGGGAGAGTCCTATTAAGTACCCCATTTAAACCTGGCTAGGGTGCGAGTGTGGGAGGATCTTTTTTCCTCTGGCCCCTACCCTATTGCATGGACCCTATCACCGTGTGCTGCATGGCCTGTATCTGGACTTGTGGGTATGCTGTGTGTCTGTCTCCTTATGTGTTTTGTGGGACGTGCCCCTGTGATTCTGTGTCCTTCTTCACGTGTGTGCCTTGCACATGTATATGTGTTTGTTTGTCCTGAAGTTCTCTGTGTGTCCTCTGCAACTGTGCACACCAGATCTTGATGTGTTTGTTCTGTGTCACCAGACTGCCCTTATGTGGTGGTGGTGGGGTGTCCCTGTGTGTCTGGAAGGTCCTATTTTGCACTTGGGTATATCATGGTGACCAACTGGCCATGAGTACATTAGATCCATTAATTGTGGGAGCCCCTGGTGTTGGGGTGCCAGCCCACCGGGCTCATGTGTGAGTGTGTCTAAATAAGTGTGCATGTGTGTGTGCACTCACATTTGGTTCTTCCTGTCCCTCTGCCACTGAGCTACTGTGACCAGGCTGACCTGGTCCAGAGGGAGGAGACTGGTCCCTTGGGTTTCCTCCTTCCTGCTATGGACTGGGCTGGGGTGTGGTAGATAGGCCGGCAGAGGGCAGCTGGGGGGGGGGGGGTATGTTTGGGTGGTTATATCTGGCTGTAGAATGTTATGAGAGCTCCTGTGTGTGCTGGGACTGCGCTGGAGGTGACACTGGCAGTGTGGGGCTATGGTGGGAGCCTATGACTGGTAACAGACTCACAGTCTGACTGTATGAAACTACAGGTGTGTGCTTGGGAATGACTGTGATTGTAGGGAACTGAGATAGCTGGGTGTGGGTGTCAGTGCAGGAGGGAATGTGACAAGGTATGTAGTGACAGTGCTGGGAGGGAAGGTGAGAGCCCCCGTGTGTGAGACCATGTGCAAGAACATGAGGTCGTGGGTGTGCGCTGTGCATGCACAAAGCCAACCTTGGCTCCTGGGGCAATGGTGAAAGCTGTAGGCGAGTTCTGGGGTTTGTAGTGTTATGACCAAGATCTCAGGCTCTGGACCAAGACAGACATGGGCTCAAATACTCACTGTACTTATTCAGAGCAAGAGAGGTTGAGTTTCCTTGTCTGCAGCATGGAGAAAGTTGTGAGGAATAGAGGTCCTGTGTCACTGATCCTCAGCACAGCCTTGACCCACAGTGAGCTAACACACACACACACTAAGTCTTATTGGTGATCACCCCACAGCTCTGTGATTCCCATTATCTTGGAAGCTGGGATTTACGAAATCTCCCAAGTCCCCAACCCCATTTCCTGCCTACAGTGGGTCTCTTGCCCCTTCCTGTCCCCTTGATCAAGCTGTCTGTGGGAGGGAGCATGTGTTTGGAAACTCCAAGACCCAACCCTGTTCAGCCTGAATGAATGATAAAACCCTTCCAACTCCTCATGGCCAACCCCTAGTCTCAGTAGCAGTGATGGGGGGAAGAGGGGGAAGAGGGGTGATTCAGAGCTGTAATTGCAGGGCCCTGACACCATTTAGCTGGCACAGCTAATTGGAATTTAAATTAAAATTAGAAATAATTTAAAGTAATGACAAAAAGAAAAAGCCTGAGGATACCTTTGCCCCCAGGGAGGATACCTTTGCTGATGGGGGACTGGGTGGTAGGGAGGAGTTTATACCTGGGGAAGGAAATCTTGTGGAGCCCTGACCTGGTCTTTTAGAGGAAATGCCTTTTAGCTAGGAGATCTAGCGCACCTTGCCGTCACTGCCATTCCGGGCCTCAGGTTTTCAGCTGTATAATGGGCACAAAATAATGGGAGAATCAAATAAACCATAAAATACCAAACAAGGAATAAAAAAAAAAAAAATCATCATTCATTTGTTTCAACATGAATCTAGCTTTGGAGCTAACACAATAAAATTTGAAGCCATAGAGGCACTTGTGGTATTAATGTTTTCTCCATTTAAAAAGTAGGCTCAGAGGAATTGCCCCAGGCCCTAAAGTGGTGGTGCCTGGTTGCACCCTAGGACTCCAAAACCTGCAGGGCAACCTCCTGCAGACGGAGGGTTGGAAACAGCTTTTTGCTGTCTGCTGACCTCCTTACCAGGCTGAAAATGTTCCAAGGGCAGGGACACAGTGTTCCAACTCCTAACATGAAGTGGACACATAGCCAATGCCCAAGAATATTTGTGCCTGGCAGCCCATTTCACAGAAGAGAAAGTCAAGTCCAGAGAGGTCCAAGATGTAAGAGTCAGGCAAGACTGAGCGGGTCTGTGTCAGCCATGCTGATGGGGAATCCTGTTTGCTTCCCGGCTCAGCTGTTTTCTCCTGTTCTTGCAGGTCTGCTGGGAATTGGCCCAAGTGAGGGCGGAGGGCCTACTTTTCCTGGTGGTTGGTGAGTGGCAGCAGCAACAGGAGCCCAGACCAAGGACAAGTGGGAGTTGGGAGCCCCAGGTAGGACTGCGTTCTCTTAGGCAGAAGGACATTGGGCTGGGGTAGCATTCTTCTTTGGACTCCTCCCTTTTTGCTGTGGGATTGGGTGGTTTGGGGCCTGGGTGCCCAGAAGAAGCAGCCATTTGCTCTGCCTAGGAGGAGCTCACTGCCTAAAACCTGGCTGTGGCCCAGGGAAGGCTTTGGCCTTGGAGGACTGGAGCCCACCAGTTGTTTGGGGGAAGGAGTGATGACAATTTATTGTCAGTTAGAAAGTGATATGTGAGCCAAGGGTTGGGGGAGGGTGTGTCAGTTTTTCCATGGCTCCTTGTATCTCTGTCACATCATCCTCGCCATCACACAGGGAAATGGAGGTTCACTTAGGCCTCACGGTGGGTTCCGTGGGTTGGATGCTGGGTTGGGAATGGAATGGGGTCTCTCAGCACAGCTGGATATTCTTCCATATCCCATTTCCCCCACTCTATTTCCCCAGCCTCTCTGGGGCTGAGGAGGGATTCTAAATCCCAATTCCCAGCCTCTAGATTCAAGGCAAGCTGGGCAGTGTCTCTGAGGAATGCCCAAGAAGGCTGCCGTCTCCGAGGCGCCTCAGGAAGCTAGAAATCCCTCCCTTTGTGGCCAGCCTTGGTTCCGTCAGCCCCTATTACAATTGAAACAGTCTTCTGGGCTGGAGCATAAAGCTCCGTGTAACTCACGTGCCTAGCATGGTTTAATTCCCAGAAAGAGAAAGAAAGAAAGGAACCAGCCAGGCACACACCTGTAATCCCAGTGGCTCGGGAGGCTGATGATGCAGGAGGATCGGGAGTTCAAAGCCAGCCTCAGCAAAAGCAAGGTGCTAAGCAACTCAGTGAGACCCTGTCTCTAAATAAAATACAAAATAGGGCTGGGGATGTGGCTCAGTGGTCAAGTGCCCCTGAGTTCAATCCCCTGCATCTCCTCCCCAGTAAAAAAAAGAAAGAAAGGAACAAACGAACAAAGGAAGGGGGGGAGAAAAGTGTTACTCACTGAGTGTTTAAATCCCCAGTAAGCCAGATTCTGAATGGGTGTGTGGGTGTGTGCTGAGGGCACCTGGAACCTGGGGGGGATAGGAGCAGGGGATGGGAAGGATGGCTTTTCCTCCAGGAGTCCTCCCTGATCGGTTCCCTACTCCCACCCTACTGCCTGTCAGGCACTATAGGTCTTAGGGTGACTGAGTGAACTTGAGGAGGCTGGACTCCCTGGGCCTGACTCTGGGGACAGGGCTGTCACTCCACTAGGGGCAGAGGGTCTTCTGCTTATTCATCCTACTCCAAAACCTATCTGGTGGGAAAGATGTGAAGTACCTTTGGCTTGAGGGCCTCTGCCCCCTGAGGCCAGGGGAGCCATTCCCTCCCAGCACTCAAACTCCTTCCCTAAGGAGTTCAATTAGTTAGTTTTGGAGCCACCCACTTTCTACTCTCAAGCATCACCTGCCTGGCTAGCAGAGATGTGCACGTGTTCATACAGAATGCCAGGCTGCACTGGGCACACGTGCCATAGGTGCCTAGTGCCTGCACATGCACCCCCATGGGCACACTAATATGCGCGTACACACACTCGTCTCTGTCATCATGCACTCAGATGTCTGCCCACACATACCGCACTGTGCCCATGCTGGGTTGGGAAGTGAGGCCCTAGGCAGGGTAACAGCCTAGCCATGTAGCCTGGGTCTGGCGTGACAGTGAGAGTCCAGGTGTGGCTGTGACCAGAGGCTAGAGTTGGGTGGGCCATGCTGTGGGCAGTCAACAGCTGTCTTGCCCATGTAACTCAGGCCTCCAGGGCTTGGTACTAGAGACCGGGGACATGGGCGTGGGGGAGGGGCTGTGTCAGCTGCTGCAGTACCGTTTGTGGCTGCTGCCACAGAGGAGGAAGTGGGCTGTTTGGCCATAAGGCTGAGGTGCTCACGGGCCAGTGGGGGTCCTACAGCCCCTCTGTCTAACCCATTGTCCATGTCTGGAGAGAGTGGAGTTGCTAGGCTCAGGGGTCCGGGAGGCAGGCAGGGTACTCTCTCCTAGGGTCCACTTTCCAAGGCCTAGACCCAGGGGAGAAGACCGTCTGTCCGAGGCGTTTCCGGAGGCTCACTTCCTCTGGGCTGCCCAGGAAGTGGTTTCAGAGTGGGACTGACCAGCCCTCTGCCTGTGGCTTGCCCCGCCCCTGTCCTGCTTTCCGAGGGGAGCAGCATCTTGCCTGTGGGCTAGGCCGACTGATCAGGCTTTCTACTGCCAGGGCTGCTTAGCCTAGTTAGAGACTCTAGGAGAAAGATGAGGTGCTGAGACCATAAAGTCCCCTGCAGCCCCACAACTCCAGCTTCTCCCTCCCTCCAAGCCTGGAAGCCAAGAATCAGAGGCATCAACTTCAACAGGCACAGTCTCTTGGGGACGGAGATGGCAGGCTGCTTCTTGAAGATTCGGCAGCACTAAGCAACTGTATAAATGAGCCTGGCCAAGTGGCTTTGCTACTCAGTGCCTCAGTTTCCCCCTCTGGCAAATGCAATGATATCTACCCTGGCGAGGTTATATGGAAAATAAGATAATGTGTGCAAAGTAGCCAGCACCATGCTTGGCACATCTTCTGTCAGTCATGTGAAGTACTCAGTGCCTGCTTCCTGGTAACTATTCAGAAAACAGCAAGTGGTACTAATAATGGGCCATAATTGTCTGATTGGCTGAGGACTGTCCCAGTGTCACAAGGCCAGGTGGCTTTGGAGCCCAACTAAGTCAGGTCTCTGGCTCCCTCCTTCCCCCTCAGTTCTGCCTTTGGCAGCAATACCAGGGGTGGGAGAGCTCCATTGGTTCAATAGGTTCCCTGTCCTCTGAGGAAGGAGTGCCAGGGTGGAGCAGCTGTGCCCACTCAGCAGCCCAGCCCCCTCCTGCTGTCTCCCCCTCACTCCCTTTCAAAGAGAGAAGAAAACAGATTTCGTGACAAATAGATGCAGGATGCTGGGGAAGGGAAGCAGGCAGCTAACTGCCTGCCCCCTCAGGGCTCCTCTCAGCCCTCCCACTCTGGGCTCCTGTAGGACTTTGGGCTTAGAGAATTGGCTGGGAATGAGGAAGTGGGTGGTGAGCCCTCCTGCCAGCCTACCTACCCTCAGACCCCTGGCCTCAGCCTTTGGACGGGGGTAGGGGGCAGTCATCTTGGACTGAGGAGACTGAGGGGTCAGGGAGCAACAAATCTCCCCATACACTTGTGCATGCATCCATCCTTAACCCATGGCAGCTGGTGGCCTGCCTATCCCAGAAACAAACAGAAGGTCAGCTCAGTGAGGACTAGGATGAGCTTTGGCTTTCACTCTTTGGGACCAAGAGGCTGAGCTCTCCCGTGTTGAAGAGTTAATGATGGCGATATGGCAGGCAGGGCTCAGGAGCCTGGAGGGCTGGAGATCATTGTAGGGCTGGGCCATCAAGGCAAGGGAATCCTGCAGATTTAGGAAAAGGACCTCGGCAAGCATCAGACAGTCCCTTGTTTAATATTTCCTGGCTGTGTCCCCTGGAGCCAGGTGCTGGATGGCTGTAAGTCTTCTTATTTCTGTGAAATAGGCAGATAGGGGAGTATCCTTATGAGAAATGAATGATGGGAAGGAACCACTGTGGGGCATTGGGGACAGGAAGACAGAATAGCAAGCCCAGAGCCTCCTCAGCAGGAAGGAACTTGTCTGATCAGAGAACTGAAAGGGGTCATTGTGGCTAGGACACTGGAATGAAGGGAGAGCAGCTACCAAGGGGGTCAGGAAGGTAAGGGCCACAGGTCTGGTGGAAAGGAGTCTGAGCTTACCCAAGGAGCAATAGGAAACTCCAGGGGCTTAGGCAAGGGTGATGAGGTCTGCTGTACTCTTAAGTCTTAAGAGCCCTGTCTGGATGCTGGAGCAGAGGAACCATAGGGGCCAAACTAGGGGAGGTAGAGCCGTGGGCAGGCAGGTACCAAGCCTGGAGATGGCAATGGTGGCCAGGATGGGGCAGGAGGCGGAGAAAAGAAGGTCTTGATCTTTGCTGCAGAGGCAGACACCATTGCGGACTGGGTGGGGAGGCCCCAGAGGAGGCAAACTGGCCCCAGGTGTCTGGCCTGACAGCTGTGTGAGCGTGGGCGCCCCTAACAGATGAGAAGCACTTGGAAGGGAACACCAGTGGGCTGCTGTGGGCAGATTTGAGCACTTTTAGAATCATTCACATGGTGAGGTTGGGGAGGCAGGTGGGGCCACAGCCTGGGTCCAGAAGGGTCTGGGCTAAAGGTGGAGACCTGAGAATCTAAAGCCTAGGTTGGGGAGGAGAGGGCTCAGCAAGCCATTGGTGGGGGAATTTGAGGGTCCTTGCTGGGACTTCTGTCCCTCGAAGGTCCCTGCCCAAGCACCAGGAGGGCAGGCTTGTGGTGGCTGAGCCACTGTTTTCAAAACAGCCCCGGAAGCTTTGGATCATGTCTATGGTTGTATTGGGTAAACAAGAGCAGCCGAGCAGCCAGTCACCAAAGCCAAGGTCGGATCAGATGTCTGTGTGGTATAGGCTTCAGGGCCAAGGTTGGGGGTGTGAGAGGAGGCTCTCGGGGTCCTCCAGTATCAGGACTGGAGAAATCTTGGGGGTTTCCATTGTTAAGACAGGGAAGCTGAGGCCTGTGCTCTGCCCATGGATGTAGGCTGCCTCAGCCCACCCCAGACCTTCCCATGACTGAGTGACCGAGGATAGATGAAAATGGGCAGAGACAGGGCAGGGTGTGAGGATGACAGTGGTGGTAAGGACCGTGGTGACGGCTTCTGGGTGTTGGCACTGTTTCTTGTGCCAGGCCTGGTGCTCAGCATGCCTGCCCAAGACTCAGCCATGTTCTCAGGGCACTGGATCTGAACTAGGCCTGTCCAGACCACTCATGCCCATGCTCACCAGCTCCTCTGTTTCCTGTCCTCTGGGAATGGCCTGCTACATGGGTTGGTCTTGTCTCTCCCAGCTTTTTCGAGGTCCCTGCAGTCGGGCGGGGGCATCATCTGGGCTCTACCTACTGCAGAG